TCCTGCTTCAAACGGAGCAGCTGAGAATGCTGTTAAAACTTTTAAGAAAAAGTTTAAGATTTTGTTAAAAGAAGGATACTCAAGGCGTGATGCGTTAATGAAGTTCTTATTTTACTATAGAGCGATGCCTCATGTAACAACTGGTATTTCACCAGCTGAATTGCAAACCGGTCGTTCTTTTCGTACGCGATTAGACCTAATCAGACCAAACCTAAGATTTGAAGTTGGGAAGAGACAATTAGCCCAGCAGCGATTTTACAGGGGTAATCGTTTTGTCAAATTTAATATTGGTGACCAAGTTATGTGTAAGAATTATAGCCGCAACTCTTGGGAGTTAGCTACAATTGTTGCACGAGCAGGTGCAGTCACTTATGATGTTAAGACTCAAAATAATGTAATAGTTAAGAGGCACATTGATCAATTAAAATCGTGCAATGTTGTACAGCTACCTAATAGCTCGTTTAGTCAAAATCAAGCTCACGATGTAACTGTACGTTCTGTAGAGAACAGCAATAGTGACTCTAGTAATACTGATATGAGTGAGGCGAAGACTCCAGTAGTTATACGAAGATCATCTCGCGTGATTAAACAACCTCAGCGACTTAATTTATAAATGCTTAAATTCTCAAGCATTGTGCTTTTGTACTACATGTTTGCCATTATTGTTATGATAAGCAAAGAATGTAAGGGGGAAGGAGTGTAGTATCTATAAGTTATAATAGTTATAGATAGAGGGATATAGCAATTTCCTCCTCCCTTAACGCGAGCCTTCAGTTTCCGCCTGTGGCATACGGTAATGTACGAGCCTACAATAAAGAGCTACGGTGTTGACTTAAAATTATTATTGTCTTTTATTCACATACCTGCCCTCAAACATTACAGTGACAAAGGTTTCTTAATTAATAAACGCATGGGACTATGCACCAAGGATGATTTCCCTGATATACATGTGTGAAGTGCCATGTACCATGGACTAAGTTAGATTATCTTAAGTGGGTGTCCTGATTGACATATATGAAGTATTTTACACCAAGGGTTTAGGTTTTGGTTATGGTGAGAAAGGTTTTCTTGATTGATAAATGTGAAGTGTTATACACCATGAGTTTAGGTTAGGTTATGGTGAGAGAAAGTTTCCTGATTGACAGACCTAAAGGACTATGCACCAAGGCTTTAGGTTAAGTTATAGTAGGAAAGGTTTCCTTGGTAAACATGTGTGAAGGGTTATGTACCATGGGTTAAAGTTAGATTATCTTGAGAGGATTTCCTGAACGATATATGTGAGGTGCTACGTGCCAAGGGGTTTATTTTTGGTTATGGTGAAACAGGATGTAGGGATGTACTATGTTAGAACATGATGGGAAATGCTACCCTGATTGAAAAGTGCTATGCATCAAAGCCTTAAGTAAGATTATGGTTATGTATGGTTAAATATGTTCCATTGACAGTGGTACCTACCCATCAACTAGCATGCACGTAAGATTTACTAGATCGATGGGAAGTTTTGTGGAAATGTGTGATAAAAATATTAACCTATATTTTAACATTCGTTTCTTTTAAAGTACAAAAAAGTCGACGCATTATATATGCAATTGTCGATCTGGAACGAATAAGTAAGTCCTTTTAATTTCTATTTCTTTGTCGTCTTGCTATCCGTTACTTTTTCTGGGGAACGGAACGTCGCCACTCACGCTTCAGATACGGAACATCTCTTCTCCAGCTCCACAAATGCGAAATGCCTTCAAACTTAATGGTTTTCTTTCATTCGTGCCTTCCTTGTTCTCTCCTCCCTTTAGAAGGGCTTAATGTGGTCCTATTATAAATACAATATACCATACACGTCCGTTTTGTTTGTTACGTGGCAAGCGGCGAAAATTTTCATAGAATTCGTAAACAAGAAGTAGATAGCGCCTGATGCTGTGTTAGAATGGAGAAATGCTGTTTTTGTGACTTTAAAAATTGCAGAGGGACATTTGCTTATTTCCTGAATTTCTACAAAAGGGGAAACGTTTGTTTTCTAAAGTACTTTTGTGAAAATGACTATTTACAAGAAATGCTCATTAAAAATTTTGAATATTTTATGTGTTCTGCGAACTTCCAGAAAAAGGTGACAACATTCGAGATGTCTAATATTAATCGAAGACTGCTTTTATTTCAGTTTATAGTAAGAAAAGACAACACAAATGAAGTTGTGGTCGTAAGCAATCAATTAAAAGTATTCTTGGGTTAAAGTTCGGTTAGGTTCAGTCATGTTTTGCTAAATGACTTACCGGAAAATTGGTTTATTTAATTACTTAGGATCGTTAGGCTACGATTGGAGAAGACAACAAGAACGAAGTGAGCCTTTTCGGGGTAATGTCCTTCCATTCCCTTACAGGAATGTACAATGGTTTTTACGTTCTACGTAATGTACGTTTGAGTGTCCCTTATTTTGATCTTTTTTGAACTTGTTTAATTTATCACTCCAAGAATATTGTAGCGAGCACGAGCGTGTTTGTGTGCGATCGAGGCATACGTGTGTGTGAGCGGCTTATCGATTCGCCGACTAGCCGCGGCCGCCTTTCTTTATCTGCGGCGTATTTATAAACGTGTGTGTCGTACCTGCATTCTGGGAAAGCAATTAAACAGTTCAAAGAAAAAGAAACTTTTCCGGACGGTTCGAGAAGGTTCCCGAACGGAAACAAAAGAGTATTTAAAGGAAGAGACGATCGCCGAGAGAAGTAGAAATAAATTGACCGTTGCAGAAGTGAATCGAGAAATAAATTGACAGTGATAGCAGTGAAATAAATAGCGCAGTGAATAGTGATATATCAACAGTAGTGTAAATAAATAGAATAATTCATAACCTAAGTTTAGTAATAATTTAATAGTGTTTTTAAGTTCTTTAATAATTAGTGTAAATAAATAGTTTTTGTCGTTATCAATCTTAGAAGTTAATTTTGTTAAACCCACGAACATTACAATATGTTTATATCGTAGATAAAAATATTTCTCCTAAGTCTAAGTCTGTTTTGATAAAGATAAGGTGCCGTCTAGCAATTTATATATAAATTACTTAATACATGTTTTTTTCGATGTTTTAATTTTTTTCTTAGTTGATGTCTAATACTTCTTATAAATTATAGAAAAAAAATTTAGGATTATTTCGATTTTTTCGGTTCAGTTGGAATACGATTCCTGTTTTAGTAATTTTCACGACGAAGCAGAAAACAAAACGAAGAAACGATGACTAGTTCTATGTCTTCGGTTGGGGCACAGTCCTTATTGATACGATATTTTTAATAGGATATTTCTATCGTAGATTTATTTATTGTTAATTCAACTTGATCATCTTACTCTTGTGTACATATAATTCAACAGACTCCGGCTGCATCTTGAGTCGTGTGTTTATTTCTACTTTTCTGTTTTGTTTTTCAGGTTTCCACTTATCAGCGAGTGTCCAACAATTACCCCGCGGTGCCTACAACGTGGCCGTGACCTTCGACCGCCGCAGAATCAGTTCGTGCAATTGCACTTGTAGTCTCTCAGCCTATTGGTGTTCCCACGTAGTGGCCGTATGTCTCACCCGCATCCACTGGGTAAGTCATTTTAAAACTAAGTTACCAGTTCATCCTTTGTTTATTTGTACAATGTGTGTAGTCTCTCGGCACCGGTATCCACTTTTATCCCGGAAAAATGGTGACTTTAGCACAAATAACGGGATTTCTCAGATATAGGTAGCTCAAACAATAACAATATATAACGAAAGGAAAAGTTAAGAATACTTTTTCTCTTAAAAAACTCCGTTAAAGTTAAGATGATGTGTCTTCAGGACCTGCTTTATGCAAGGCTTGGTCTAAAATTTGAAGAGGGTTCCTCGCACCAAGGCTTTAGGTTAAGTTATAGTAGGAAAGGTTTCCTTGGTAAACATGTGTGAAGGGTTATGTACCATGGGTTAAAGTTAGATTATCTTGAGAGGATTTCCTGAACGATATATGTGAGGTGCTACGTGCCAAGGGGTTTATTTTTGGTTATGGTGAAACAGGATGTAGGGATGTACTATGTTAGAACATGATGGGAAATGCTACCCTGATTGAAAAGTGCTATGCATCAAAGCCTTAAGTAAGATTATGGTTATGTATGGTTAAATATGTTCCATTGACAGTGGTACCTACCCATCAACTAGCATGCACGTAAGATTTACTAGATCGATGGGAAGTTTTGTGGAAATGTGTGATAAAAATATTAACCTATATTTTAACATTCGTTTCTTTTAAAGTACAAAAAAGTCGACGCATTATATATGCAATTGTCGATCTGGAACGAATAAGTAAGNAAGAGGATTCCTCTTAGATTTTATTTGGTTTTTTTTTTATCGAAGATGGTTTAATGAAAAAAAAAATATCTATAGTTAGGACGTTTAAAATTGGTATAGGTCGCAATAAACGTGTCGCATTTATATTTTATTTACTTTCTCTAGCGATGTGCACTTCCAATGTCTAGGATGCGCGCTGGAAAAATCGTAGGTAGGGAGAAAAAACTCATTATACTCTCGACTCTTGTTCATGAAACATACTTTTTCATACAGTACGTGCCAAAAGTTTTGTTCAATCATTAATAGTAGTGCGACTCGAAAACAAGCGTTAAAGCCTTTAATATATCTATAGACGCAAAGGACTATGCACCAAGGATGATTTCCCTGATATACATGTGTGAAGTGCCATGTACCATGGACTAAGTTAGATTATCTTAAGTGGGTGTCCTGATTGACATATGTGAAGTATTTTACACCAAGGGTTTAAGTTTTGGTTATGGTGAGAAAGGTTTCCTGATTGATAGACGCAAAGGACTATGCACCAAGGATGATTTCCCTGATATACATGTGTGAAGTGCCATGTACCATGGACTAAGTTAGATTATCTTAAGTGGGTGTCCTGATTGACATATGTGAAGTATTTTACACCAAGGGTTTAAGTTTTGGTTATGGTGAGAAAGGTTTCCTCATTGATAGACGCAAAGGACTATGCACCAAGGATGATTTCCCTGATATACATGTGTGAAGTGCCATGTACCATGGACTAAGTTAGATTATCTTAAGTGGGTGTCCTGATTGACATATGTGAAGTATTTTACACCAAGGGTTTAAGTTTTGGTTATGGTGAGAAAGGTTTCCTCATTG